AGAGTAGATAAGTATATCATCGATAAAGACGATGACGAACTGATCCAAGTAAGGGCGGCATACCCTATTCATTAGGTCCATAAATACTGCTGGTGCATTGGTTAATCCGAACGGCATCACCACGAATTCATAGTGTCCATAACGAGTTCGGAAAGCTGTCTTTGGAATGTCCCCCTCTAGAACTCGTAATTGGTGATATCCGATCGCAGGTCTATTTTTGAGAAGTAGTTCGCCCCTTGAAGTTGATCGAATAGGTCGTCGATACGGGGTAGAGGATAGCGGTTTTTGACAGTAAGTTTGTTCAGCTCTCTGTAGTCGATGCACATACGGAACGATCCGTCTTTCTTCTTTACAAACAAGACCGGTGCTCCCCAAGGTGAGAAACTTGGTCTTATGAATCCTTTGCGAAGGAGTTCATTAAGTTGACTGGAAAGTTCCTGCATCTCTGCTGGTGCAAGACGATAAGGCGACTTCGCTACTGGGGTAGCTCCTGGAATTAAGTCGATTCTGAACTCGACTTGGCGTTGCGGTGGTAATCCTGGTAGTTCTTCTGGAAAGATATCGGGAAAGTCGCGTACTACCGAGATGCTCTTGATGTCCTTCAGTTCTTGACTTGTATCGACGATGTGCGCTAATGCCCGACAATCCTTCCGTAAGCACTTTCGAGCTTGGATGCACGAAATGATGCGAAGGTTTGTACTAGATTTGTCGCCGTAGATAACTAATGTTTCGTTGTTCGGGAGGTTAAGACGGACTGCTTTCTCAAAGCACATGATGTCAGCGCGAAGGAGACTCAACCAATCCATGCCGACTATGACGTCGAAACTTTTAATTTGTACCGGCATGAGATTGATTGGGAAAGAATGGCCGTCCAATGTTAACGTACAGCCCATGTATATGCAATTTGTGCTTTCGGTTTTTCCATTGGCCATCTCTACAGTGAATGATTCTTTTAACTTGCTAGGTTTAGGTTTAAGTAAATGGATAAAGTTTTGACTCACGAAGCTTCTCTCCGCTCCACTATCGAATAATATGCATGCGTATGAATTATCGAGAAGAAACGTACCAGCAACTATAGTTGGGTCAGCTACAGCTTCGTCGTCCTATTGCCAAAACTCGTCCTACACCTCCGGTGCCTGCTGCCTTAGGACAGTTTCTCTTGTAGTGGCCCACCTCGCCACAACCGTAGCAAGCCTGCCCTACACCCGCACCGGAATTTGAGTGATCGGCTTTGCGGGTTCTTTGCAGAAACGAGCCGTGTGTCCTTTCCTGTTGCAGTTGGCGCACTGCATATCTCGGCAAGGTCCATGGTGGTGGAAATTGCACTTGGTGCATTTTGGGAGGTTGCCTACATAAGGCTTTGTTGGGTAGGTATTTGTAGGGACTGTAGCAGGTACAATAGCAGCATTTACTGACACAGTTGTTTCTTTGCGGATTCTTGGGAAGATCCACCCTTTCCTTTGATCCACGCTCTCTTCCTGCCATTGTTGTTGTTGTTGTTGTAGTTGTTGTTTCCTTTCTGTGGTGCTGGTGCAGAAGTGGTTGAGTTCTGATGACCTCCGTAGTCGATCAGAGATTGTGCCAGTTCCTTAGCACTTTCAAAGGTGTCAGGTTTGGAAGCTAACACGCTTGACCGCATCTGGGGCGTCAGTCCCCAGATGTACCTTTCTATCTTCTTGCTCTCGGGAGCAATCATGTCTGGACAAAGGATTGCCAGTTCGCAGAATCTGTTGGTATAAGTAGCGATGTCGGTACCCACCATTCCGAGAGTCCATAGTTCGTGTTCAAGCTTTTGAATTTCTCCCCGCGGGCAGTATTCCTCATCATCATGGCCTTCAAGCTCTCCCAGCTTATGGAGTTTGCCACGATTAGGGTAAGTACTTTAACGTGACCATTCCACCAAGTTAAAGCTTTATCAAGAAGGGTGAAGGTTGCAAATTTGACCTTGCTGTGCTCGGGACATGAGCAGATTTCAAAGACTGCCTCCGTCCTTTCAATCCACTGCCTCAGGGCCATCACACCACCAGTACCATAAAACATCCGGGGCTTGGCATTGGTGAAGTCCTTATAGGTGCATTCTCGAGGTGGTCCATGACTCTCGCCATGGTTGGACGTGTGTGCGCCAGATCCCGAGACATTAGCACTTGAGTTATTGATCTGTGACATGGCAGCTGCCACTGCTGCGGTGACTGCTGCTTGAAACATTACAGCATCAAATTGGGGTGGTGGAGGTGGTGGTATAGGTATTTCCTCACTGTTGTTTCGCCTTGGATTCCTACGCGGAGGCATCCTTCAACTATAGATGGAAAGAAAACAAGGATAAGAATTTCATGAAATGGAAAATGTATGTGTCTCATGAATTAAATCGCTATAATTCAACAACAAATGATAGTATGAGTCTTAAAATAGAAGAATGAAAGTTATTTGTAAGACTGAGGGTATGAAACAAGTATTTGGGTTCCCAAGGACCATTCAAGGTTCGAACGAAATACTCAGCATAGTAGTAATAGTGCCACTTATATTAATATAAAAGTTGTTACAACGATCAAGAAAATTTGTCCCCTATAAGGATCTCCGTTTACCAAGTTCAAGAAATTTAAAGACTTTTAGCCGAGGTCCTAAGCTATAACAAAATTTGAGTTCTTGACAAGCACTACTTGCGTCGAAAGTTGCGTTTGGAGCTTGACTCCGTATCTGATTGCTTCGACTCCATTAGACGCCTATCTAAAGCGGCTTGTTGTTCCCTTAGTTCGGCGAGGGCTGCAATAATTTGCGCTTGAAACGCTTCGGTTTGGAACTGAGCGTTGTCTTGCCTCTTGTCCAACCTACGGATGTCAGAAGTGTGAACCTGCACTTCTACGTTGATATCCCGGAGTCGACTAGCTTGTACTCCAGACTGATAGGACTGATTGGCTAACTTACCCACCATTACCGGGAGTGCTCGATCAGCCGAACTTCCGCCACGGACATCATAGAAGTCCCGGCACATGCCGTAGGGAGGGCGTAGGTTTTGCTGTTGGCTCCAATGGTGGAGGTGACTTCCCCAGACGGGAGTCGGTCCTTGAAAGTTCCTTACGAAGACGGGAGGTTGAATGGGTGGTGGATCGATAACTTCCGGCTCTGAGTCGGTACCGGAGTCATCACCCACGTCTATGGGTTCCTCGTCCTCTTCGGGATCATCTTCGATCCATCCTCCGTTGCCTTGGTTGGGAAAGTAGGGGTCGCCAGGGTGGTGAAATCCAGCCATTTGACTATACGAGAATTAGGGTTATAAGAATTGAATAAAGTCGGAACATGTAAAACGTGTAAGTTAAACTAGTTTAGATAGCAAATACTCCTATAGTATTTAAATTCTTGTGTTTGATTTTTGTAATGGCTTGGTAAGGTTTGACATTGTTGTTACTACGATCATTCCTTGATTTGTGCGTGTCAACTTGCCTATACTTGTAAAATTGTATAACATGAAAATAGTTTGTGGTATGCATGTAATTGTACTTAAATGAACTATTAATTTAAGTTGAACGAAATGCTGCTTAAGTGTAAAAAAGAAATTTGTTTTGTTAGAGAGTATTAGTCCCTTAAGCATTTATAGTTTGTATATCTTATGTGGTTCGATATACTTAGTTCACTATAAACATTGCTCTGATACCAATCTGTCACACCCCCAAACCTGAACGGCGGAAACGTTCGGGGCGGATGACTTCATGTGGTAGCGTAACAAATGAATACATAGTAAAGAAAGCAATACAACCATCATATATATAATTGAAAGTTTACATTTGTCAAAAGTTACATGTTCAAAACCAATTACAATATGATGTCAAAAATATGAGATTAAACTGGCGCCGCAGCATCTCTTCTTCAAAAGCATATTAGTACCTGAAATTACTGAATCCCTGGGACATACAAGTAATTTTGAAAGAGTAGATCAGCATTTAAGCTGGTGAATTTCATAAGTATTTAAATGACAATGTTTAAATGAAATGAAATGTTTTATCTTTGTTTGTATGTGTTTAGAAAATCCTATATTTTCTACTAGCATAAAAGTAGCCTTCATTCAAGACCAATGTTTGTTTCCAAAATGTATGTAAAGGTAAAATATAAATGAGTTTGAAAACCTTGTAAATCAATGCGTTTTTAATACCCCTTGTGAGTTTTATAACCATACTATTGACTCGAAATGCCTATACACAACGTTCTTCAGGCGTTGGAATGTTATGACGTTTGTCACCCCAAACGGTGGACTGCAGCTAACAGTCAGGGCGCGGGTTGTCAAGCCCGTATAGATCTATACACAAACACCATGCTCCCCTCCAAGG